CTTCTGACAAAATACGATGTATAACTTCTTGATATTTTATTTTGAACAAACCCTCATAAAGCAAACCTGAACTAATACTGAAAACGTGTATCATACCTAGTACAAATGATTGCAAGCATGGATTGAATTCTAGAGTCACCTGAAAAATAACTGCGCACTTCCAAAAGAGTCGTTCAAAGTGTCAGGTTCTAAGTAAGTGAATGCAGTGTAATTTAAACATCCTAAATAACAATCATTCATAAATTCCACACCAAACAGTATTCATTCTGCTTCAGGGTAAACTCAGAATTGTTAGATTTCTTACATTAGGAAAGCATATACTCCTGGTCAAACTTCTAGGGGATATACTCCTGGTCAAACTTCTAGGGGAAAATAGTTCTTTACCCCAGAATCTTATAGAACTGTACACACTAATTTTGTACGGTGTCCATACAAAATGGATGTACAGATTCCCGTTTCCAGCAGCTATACAACATAACATGAGATTCCAGAGTCAGTGCAAAAATCTTCCAGGAGAGTTAACGTAAAGAGAAACCATACTGATGTTCCAAGAAGTTGCCTCTGAAGGCCTGATGAAGCTTGGTTTGAGTTTTGTAACACAAGTTTTAATGCAAATGACAGATGTCATTTAATGTTGTGTTAATATTTTATATATTTTAACAAGCTGTATGCTTTAAATTGAGATATTGAAACTTGATATATTAAAGAAATAAAAATAAGAATTTAAAACACTATGTCAAATTACTATCTGTCTAAGTAGCCCAAAAACTGTTCTCTAACTTTTCCAGTTTTGCAGCAAAAAGAAACTTTCAGAGCAAATTTGGGAAGTAAAGTAAAACTTCACATTACATGAAGCTTAACATTGATAGCAAATGACCCATTTTTCTCCTCCTTTCCCATTCAGTTAATTACTGTTTTGGAACATTAAGTGCACTCAACTTTATGTCAGGCACTTAACTCCTGCTGCTGATAAATCTGTCTAGCAAAGGATTTGATCCTTGAAGTCAGTGCTTCAACAGATTATTTTAGCAGCAACACATCCTGCAAGTCATCTACCTGCTTGCCAATTTATTAAAAAACAAAGTGAAGGTATGTTGCTTTCCACCTCAAAATCATGTGCTCTCTGGAATATGTGTGTGTTCACGTTAGCATAAACACTGATAAACAATCAGAGGCAGGCTTGGAGCGCCGTATCATAGACAGGAGGGAATGAGAAAATAACAGCTTACATTTCCATTCAGCTGCTATTCCAAAGCATTCCCAGGCCTTATTTTCTTTATAGGCAACTAAAATGCACACTTTCTCCAGGCACCAGCCATTTCTGAGTTGAAACACAGCAGCTGTTCAACACTTGAGAGCAATGCCACACAGTCGGATGGGCCCGCTGACAAAAGCATTTGTTTTTCTCTGAGATAGCTGCATTTCAGCTTTTGATGGAGGTAAACCAGAGTAGCTAAACATTATTTGCAGGAGCCCTTTGGTGCCTTGATCGCAAGCATATGGCAACAAAGTCTGCTTTGCAATCTATTCAGACAAAAAATCAGGACAACTGAAAGGAAGAACAATCTCTATATCACAATATGAAATGAAGGCAGAGAAGGCTGCCTGTAGAGACTAGTCTAAACCTACACCTAGATCACCTAAGGTCCAGGATAATCAGATTAACATTTCTCTGCTCCCAGTGCAGCACAGTAACATAACTCATCTCTAAATAACACAGAATCGATTTTGATTCACTTGAAGAAGAATCCGTACATGAATTATTGCACCATTTGAGGAACCATTCTCCAAATGGTTTTGAGAACTGACGTTGGAGTAGCTGTGTAGTAACTGCCCAGAGAATAGCTGGATCTGAACATAAAGTGGAAGCTCTTAGGTACACCAACTATTCCTAAATACTTCTGCATTTGAAATGGGTTTTATGAATGCCAGATATTTCAGAGAGAGGGCTATTCTCACATTATCTACAGAGAAAGTATACGAAGCCACGTTACTCTTGTGGCTCTTCACCAAGTACAGATAGGAGGCAGCATTTGCAGTATTGTTCATTTACATATACACATGCAGAGAGACATCCTGCAGGCACAGCATAGAAATCTGTTGGTATCATCCTCCTCATCACAATCTGGAAAGCTTCCCAGGCACCTGAGAAAAGCTCAGTGTCACATGGGACAGCTCACTTATGAAATGCACATCCTTAAGCATATCGCAGATCTCTCTCCATTCTCAAGCTTCCACGTAGCTCCTGATCCTGTTCCTCATTCTCCAAAACAGTTGCTGCTGGCAGGCCGAATGACCTGAAGGAGTCACAAATCAAGCAGTGACAGCAGGATTCATGTGCACACGCACATACAGACACACTCTACTACCTGGTGTTGACAGGGCTTGCACAGAGTGTAAGATTAAAGCATAATGCATGGATCAGTTCGCACTTCTCAAAGCTACTGTCACCAGTTGTCTGCAGATGAGGTGTTACCAATAAGAAGGTGTCTGCCAGTGCCACCTGAACAGCTTTTCCTTAGACCTGTGAGTACTAAAGTAAAACAATAGCTAAGAGTCCGTGACTCCAGGAGTCAGAAAGGTAGCACAGCACTAAAAGCTCTACACAGCGCTCTCTCAGACACACCCCTCTTGGCAAATTCAAGTCAGTTATAAAAGTAACTCTTCCAATACGGCTGGGGCAATTATTTTAACTGTGGGGAAGTCCTTCTTAGCTTACATCATAGGCTTATTCCTACTCCATTTCTCTCTCAGAGGATCACTATCCACCTGGGTTTGTCTGCTTCAACCTATTCACAAATGGGGTGTATGCTTACTCTATACTCGGGAGTGAGCTTGCTGAGAGTAATACTGTATGCATATGACCCAAAGTACGTGAGTTTAATTAAAACTATGTACTTCTACCATTCAAATGCTTCTGAAATTTCCCTTCTTAGGGTGTCTTAAAAACTGCTTCATTTGTAGTATGCGGTGTACCATTTGGACATATGCATTACAAGAATATATTGTCTTTTCTTATGAAAATGATAAGAAAAAACATGGCCTAAAAGCCATGTTTAGAGCATTTTAAGAGCACTGCTGCATCATTAAACAATCAAACTTTGATTCCTGTTTTAAACTACATTTAAGACCAAAAGCATTCAATAACATATGTAAGATGTACGGATATTTAACAGCATCATTTTGAATGACTACAAAGCTCTAGAGGAGATGCCAGAATCTGTTGCCACCTTTGTGTCTATTAAAGTGCCACGATAATAGATGCTAGTTATGATAGGCTTTTAGCCCAACTGTTAGAGAGGAGCTGTCAGTTCACAGAGAAAACAGGTAATTATAGTTGAGGGGTTTAGTGCAATAACAATTATCCCTTAATATATTTCCTTTAGATCAAGGGAAACATATTCAAGTTTTCAGTACTCTGCTAGTACTCAGAAGCAAAAACTACCACCAATGAGTTACGAAGAGAAAATAACAAAATAAAAGACTGTATGATGATTTCTAAGCAGCCTGCAAGAAATGCACTGTTAAAACAGTCAGTTAAAAGCCAGGCAGGATACTGCCCAAGAGAAGGGGCAAAGACCTGTAAGAATCTTTTATTTCCCTCCAGTCGCTCATTCAGAAACACGCAAATGATTACCTTAAGCCAAGAAAAATTAAAAATATTGCCTGTCCTGATGCAATTATTGTGGCACGATGGAAGTTATTTCTGAATACTCAGTGTCCCATTGTAGGAATCATACCTTTTTCTGGACTATTGCCTAGCTGCTGGGGGAAAAAATGCTGTGAAGAACCAGAAGGCGGCCATATACAGACAAGGAACTGACTGTAAACCACTTAGTGGACCCTGATACAGTAGCCAGGAAAATGCTGGGTAGGTAGAAAAAAAGATATTTCGGTTGCATGCAGTTTTGCTTCTGGAAAAAGGAAAAGGAAGACAACGGGCAGCATTCTGGAGGTTGCAAGGACAATCTTAGAGCCACAGCAACTACCTGGGACTAATTTATACAGCAGGACTG